TTTTTTTTTTTTTTTTAATTTGAGAGACGACGGAATGCAAGACGATGTTGTCTAATCTGTGTCCGCTGTCTGCTCTGTGTAGCAGCATACTGGACTTTGCAGGCTTATTTCTTCGACCTGCGTAGATGTGACTGCCGCCTTCCAACCTCTACTTATAAGTTGCTTTTCCTCGCTGTGATTTCCGATGCGTCGATTTTCGAGCTGCTGCTCACTCCCATGGCAATGTAAATTCTTGCTGGCACACTTGTAACTCTAACATGCGGAATGTGTGCGTTCATTTTATCAGTAATGTTTTAGCTATCATTGCCATGCTGCATCCGTGCCTCCTATGACAATTTTGCTCCCGAGAAAGCATACATCATTTATAATGGTGTCACGATGTTCTTGTGGATCGGTCTGAAAGTACCGCAGGAGTGGATACAGGATGTTTTCAACTCAACTTCCGTCGCACACCTCAACGTCGAAAATGTTCGCGTTTTGAATATTATGACAAAACATTCGAAATAGTCCAAAGCTGTAAAAATACACAAACAGAACAAATATTCCTTGTTTTTGAAGGAAGAAATGTCGAATTTTAGCATGTTGTGCCGGAGAGGGATAACGCAAGATCTCGTGCGATACGTTTTGTGATTGACCGAGTGAATACGAATCGCGTCCGACACATGAAACTCTTTCTGATTCGTCAACAGGACGCTCTGGAGGCATGGATGAAGAAGTTTTTGGTTGAAGATCGCACAGCAAATATGCCTTCTTACGTCGACTATCTATGTAATATTCATCGTGAAATACGAAATCTGTTAAGCTAAGGGGCACTTTTGGAGCTGTCTTTTTTTGTTGTTGTTATATGTGTATTGAAGGAATTTACAGTCGACATTTTATGCGAATTCTCTTTGCCATCATATCTGCACGGCTAACTTAGGCGTCTCCGTGATACAACAGAAGATTGATTATGTCCGGGAAATGGCACTTCATTTGTTCAGTTAAGTATTATCATAAATTATTTAACGGGACAGTACGTGTTCTACTTTCCTTGCGCCAATTTCTATATTTCATTGTATCTCTTCCTCTCCCTGTGTGTGTGTGTGTGTTTGCAAGCGTGGCTTTATTTATATTGTGAAGTGGATGTGAATTATTGTGAGCATTGACACATATCGCCGGTTTTGTCTGGGGTGCATAATAACAGTAATAGTAATAATTTTGAGCGTCGCAGCTTCGTGTCATGCACTGCGTGCAGCACTTGTTTTCTATTGCTTTCCTGGCTCTGGCATTGTGCGCAGCGTGCCGCGCTTCTTTGGGGTTCGTTTTTTATTTGTGATTCGTTTTCTCTCTGTTCTGGTTCCATCAGAAGCAGCCTTATTTTATCGTTTCTAGCTTTTTGTGAAATAAAACGGTCCCCTATCACGGCCAACATGTTTGTTCCTTTGTGACGCCATGGTTGCAGCTGACCACTTTCAAAACTGGCACAAATTAAACAAGTGGTCAGCGGAATCTGAAAATGTCTGAAATTTCTCCTAATTTTTGTTCAGTGAGCGCAGCGTACTTTTGTTCAATGGGCGCTGCGGGCGAGTGCTCATAAACGAGTGCGCAATCCGGTTCTGAGGGGTTGGGGGGGAGAGTAGCTTGAGTTCTGCGGAAGAGTGCGCTGAGGCATATGCCGTGGACTGGGGATAGCAGGTACTCCCCGCAGTTAGCGGCATTCGGAAGTGGGAGAGCGGATTCTCTACATAGTGAAATATGTCCGATTTCCCCCCAGTCAGAAATTCTCCTCAGAAGCAGCGACGCTAGCGGCTGAGCATCACTGGACCATCTAGTGGTATCCCCAGAAAGAGGTCAGGAAGCGTAGCCGCCGGTCGGAATTGCTGCGGCCTGGCGTGTTGCAATTTCGAGCTTGGGCGTAGCGGTGTGTGACAGCTCACGGACAAATTGGTGTTGCTGCACTGATTTGTTCGGACAGCCTCGCCGGGATGCTTCGGCAGCGGTGTGGAAGCGCATATTAGTGCTCGTCTGTGATCGCTGACTGCGTCTGGTGTGCATTGCAGCCCGTTAACACAGGTGTTCCGTAGCAGCTCAGGCCCGCCGGCTTTCAAAGACTCGCACAGACGCCATTGCACCGGAGGTGTTGGCACTACAGGGAACTTCGGCGGGCAGGGCAACAGAGTACTTGCTGGAAGTGCGGACGGGCGAAGGGGAGAGTGGTCACTAACCGGGGAAGCATACAGCGCATGTGCTATGGCCCCAGGATGACAACACCAGACCCCTGTGGCTGTTTTGCTAATACTTTCTTGCGCCGAAGTCACAGTCACACGCAACGGCTTGCTGTGCGTTTTTTGCAGGTATGCAATGCAGGGAACGCATATTGACGAGGGATTGTCTGTGTATGTGTGTTCGTCTGTACCGATTTTTCATCTCGAGACCTACAAAAGATGCAGGGCTGAAACTTTGGGAACTTGGTCTACACACATGCATGTACGGGCCCCGATCCCCAAAATGGGCCCTCTTCTCCACGTGGTACCCACGTAAGAGCCCGCCAAAGTTTTTTACGGGTAAGCTGCTAACTCATGAACCAGAAATCTGGGAGGCTGAAATTTTAAGGGGACGTTCCCCGTCCAAGTGAGCATTAATGAGCTCAAACCCAGCCTCCGGGTAAGCGTGGTACCCACGTACGGGCCCACCGAATTTTTTCTCCAAAATTTTTTTCGGGTAAGTCGCTAACTCAGTAATCTGAGAAGCTAGAAGACAGTAATTTTGAAAGGATGTTTCCTAACAGTCCTGATAGCCAGTCTGAAATTCTTTAAGCTGGAGGCATCTGCCGGAAAAATCAGTGCCGTTGACGACAAAAATTTGCGGGGAGCTGTCCAAAAAACGCATCTTCGTACGGGCAGCCCGTGTGTTGGCCAATTATTTTGCCTGTGGTGAAGTTCGTAGATTCAGCATGCGCATCTTCTTTCACCGACAACCGCCAATACCTCCCGCAGTGCGCCTCTGCACCATGGCCGCCTTGACGGGGGCCACTGCACAGTCTGCCGGTCACCTGCTCTCACTAGGGCGGTCCATTTTCGCGCCTCCTGTCCTTTGACTTTAGCCAAGTTCATGTATGGGCGTGAGGCTGCCGGGCTGCAAAAGGAAAATGATGACCACGAACGAAAAGCGATCGTCCTGTAGCGAGCGACGGATGCGTAAACTTTGGTTTTCGGACATTGACTGGACGCGCACTCGTCATTGGGAATGGATTGGTTTCATGGGGATGGTGCTCTCGCTCGTTGCTCCCACTGCTCTTGTTTTGGGGAGCATTGGTTTTGGTCAGATGTGGCGAGTGCGCTGCTCTGTCTCTCCGTGTGAAGTGACCGCGAAGTACAAATTTTTTGCAAGTTATTTTTTGTAAAAAAGAAGGCGGTTGAGGAGGCGCAGCGCTAAGGCGGCCCATTGTCATCCGGTGCTTTACCACGTTATCACAGCAAATCTGGCATTTGGGCTGCCGAGTTCTGCTAAGCACGGCGTCCGAGAGGCTTACTGCACGCTTCCTCCATCACTGTTGTTGCGCGGCAGCAGCTTTCGCATCTCAGTAGCAAACAGGGCCATTATCTTCGCTATCTCATAATAATGCAAGCGAGAAAGCTTCCTCATCTCACGAGATGATGCTTAGTGCGCACCAGAGACATCTCGAAATGGCCAAGGCCCCGTCAGAGATGTTTCTGTCGAGAGGGCTACAGAGGTGGTTCTTCAAGACAGCACACTGACCAGTACCACGCAGTGCAGCGCTGCTCCGAGAGTAGCCGGCTGCATGGATGGAGGACGAGGATGCCATTTCTCTCCCTCTCTTCTGTATTATATCAGTTGTGCAGCTTCAGCCGTACTGCAGTCGCCCGTCTCTCAGTACTTATTGCTTTCAGCAGGACACATCTCGCTGTGTACCGCTAGAGCACGTTGCAGCTGGACCTCTTTCTGTCCGGGCACATGGGCGCCACGTCGAGTTTCCCCACAGCGGGCCTCTCACGGAGAGCCAGTTATCAGGGACAGCGATTGCTTTTGTTTTTATGCGTTTTCTGCATCTATGCAATGCAAAAACGCATATTGTTGAGGGGTTGTCTATGTCTGTGTATTCATCTCTACCGATTTTTCGTCTCCGGTCTTACAAAAGTTACAAGGCCGAAACTTCGACAACTTAATCTCACGCACATGCGAGCGCTGTTCCCAAAATGGACGCTCTTGCCCATGTGGTTCCCCAGTGCGGACCCGTTGAATATTTTTGCCTGGTAAGTTGCTAACTTGGGAACCAGAAAAATTAAAAAGCTGAAATTTTAAGGAGATGTTTTTTGTGTGCATAGAAGCCTCTACCGGAAAAAACAGTGCCGTTAGCGAAAAAAAACCTGCCGGGGAGTGTGCAAAAAACGCATCTTCGCACCAGCAGTCGGTGCGCTGGCCGGTTATTTCCTTCTGAAATGAGAGCGCAGTGTCCATCCTGTGTACGATTTCGAGTAAAAATTTTTTCTCTGCAGGACATATCAAGGCTTGACAGTCTGAGGCTCATCCCAGAACTTATTCCGTGCACTCTTTTGATCCCGCCTCAGCGCGTGGCCTCTCTTGCTAACCAGACTACGCGCCGTTTTTCTACATATTTTATACACGTGTGCTTCCAATTACAGTGCTTATTATGCGCTTTGCATATACGCAAATGCAAGAACGCATCTTATGACGACTCATGGCGTGTGTGTGTGTGTTTTCGTGAACGTGTGTGTGTGCGTCTGTCCAGGTATTTCAACTTGGCAACCAAGCAAGCTCCAGCACTGAAGTTTTGCCATTGGGTTTCAGGCCAAGTGCCGCCCCAGGGCTGCTATACAAACCTTCGCGCTCGTTTTGTAAAAATCGCCAACTCAGGAGCCAGAAAAGCTAGGAAGCTGGAATTTTGAGGGGATTTTCCTCGTTGTTGTAGAACTTAAATACTTCAAATTCGTTCTCCTGGTATGCGTATTTCTTGCGTACGAACTGTGAAAATTTTTGGGCGGGAAAATTGCTAACTCGGGTGCCAGAAAAGCCGGAAGTTTGACGGAATGTCCCCTATCCATGTACCAGTAGTAATTAAATTCCTGAACTTTGAGGACCAGTATGTCTCCAATTCTAGCTACTGGAATTCCAAGCGATTCTACTACAGCACGAAATATTGCAAAAACGCATGATCGCACTGGCCCGCCTGGTGCGCGTTGCCAATGATTTTAGATTAAACCGCGAGCAAAAGGCTATGCCCGGTTGCAGTTAGCCTGAACTGCCGAGCAGACTCCTTTTTTACGTTTTTGCATATTTATACAGATGCAAAAACGCATACTGATAAGAGATTTTCTACATATATATATATATATATACATATATGCATGTGTGTATTGTGTGTCCGTATGTTCGCACTGTGTCACCTACTTTCAACTCGAAGGTCAGAGAATCTAGGGAGCTGAAATTTCTTGATCATGTGCTTATCTCATGTGCAACGCTCCTGTTTTATATTGTCGTTCACGTACGCTTGATCCTCAAATACAGACGCCTAAAAGAATTCATGCAGATTTTTCGGCGGGAAAGAGAACCAGTCCAGATAAGAAGCTAAAATTTCACAAGGATGTTCTGTGTCCTTGTATGAACCAAAGATTCCATGTTTAGTTTTAATGCAACCTATGTGATGCGTACGGGCACGCCAAAATTAAGGTCGCTAAATCGCTGACCAAGCGTAAATTCGGGGATTAAACAGATGTGGGTGCTTTGATTTTATGAGGATATTTTTTTCCACTCGTGACTTTTTAGGCGTAAAAAGAGCTTAGCTTTG